CCTGCCGCAGAATTTCACTTTAGCCTCTCTGGTTTATTTTTTTTTGAAAATATGTTTATTTAGTAAATTGGAGAGTCAGCAGTTAGAACAGTATAAAGACTCGCAGGTCTAGGTACGCATACATTGTAAGTGTAACAGAGGTAGGAAAAACTGGTGATCCATGAGAAAAGGAGAAAAGAAATAAAACATAAATAAAATAAATTATTAAATAGATCCACCACCTACCAAGCTTGCAGGCCTATGAGTCAGCTTGTTTTACGAAATGAGTGGACACGCAGGTCTGTAATAACTATCCAAGGTGTATATCTAGGTACTCTTACCCCATAGTGAGGGACAAGCATATCCATTTCTTGTATGACAGTACAGTTTCATGTGTAACAATTACAGGTGGGAGCTTTGTGTCATTTATAACAGGTATTCACTACTTGGAGCACCAGTATTCCCTTGATTGTTACCTATGGCTGAGCTCGTGTAGCGTTCGAGAGTCCCTTCACCCAGTTGTGGTAGCCAGATGCTCGTGTCTGGCCCCAGTGTGGTACTTATCGTGGTGTTATTTAGCCTGAGTGTTACCCTAGTGTATGAGGAAGATATGGTTGGCGGCTATCTAGTGTTATTTATTCACAAGTGTGTCATAATCCTGGCTACTCATCAGGTATCTGAGCCACAGTGTGACCCGTGTCTCCCAGGCCTGTTCAAATCTCTGTGCATTTATTAGTATCCCTCTATTAGTGTACGTTGTGCCTCCCTGGAATCCTTGTGAAATGTTGTATTGGCTATCCATCCCACAGTCAGTCTACTCGGCCCCGACCCCCCCTCCACTCGGTCCCGGTGCTCAAGGATAAGGGGTAAGGAAGAGGTGAGGAGCAGTGGCGGTCGGGCCTCTTAGGGTGTGGTCCCCCTGGCACTGTCTGACCCAGCCTGCGCCCCCGGCGCGGGCCCCTGTGCGGCTCCGTCTCCTCGATAGCGAGATATGTATAGGAACCACGGCGTCCACATCTCCGTGTGCTTGGTCCCTCTTCCCGTTACAATAGCATGTGCTTCTTCTGCTCCTTGGATCTCTTCCACTCTACGGATCCACTCTTTTTTGGTCGGGATTTCACTTTTTTTCCAATGGACTGGAATAGTGGCCTTGGCAGCATTAAGCAGGTGTCGTAGTATCGATTTTCTTATATGATCTTATGGGTTGTGTCGAGATGTGTAGCAATGCCAATTCCGCATTCCATTCCGGTAAGTCTCCCAGGATGATCGTCACTTCTTCTCTAATCATTTGCCAGAATGGGATGATAACCCTGCATTCCCACCATATGTGCAGTACTGTGCCGCGTGTTTCCTGGCACCTCCAACACATCGGAGGAATTAAAGGGAATATGCGGTGCAGAAGAACTGGTGTTCTATACCAGAAAGGTATCAACCTATAATTCATCTCCTGGTAGTATGAGCTCATAGAGCTCTTATGCTGCCAAAGCAACGCCGTATCCCATTGCTGTGTTGTAAATGTTATTCCTAGTTGTTCTTCCCACTGCCTTTTGAACGTAGTAGCCGTAGGGGTGCCTCCGATTAGAAGATGTTGGTATAACGCTGAGATGGCATGTTCTATGTTGGTGCCTCGGTCGCAGAGGCCCTCAAACCACGTGAGGTCTCTATGCAAGCGATCTTTGTGCGGGAAGGAATCGTAAAAGTGTTTCAGTTGTAGATATCTAAATTGGAGGATAGGCGTCCGTGGTCTATCGCCTAGCATCGAGGGGAGGTCTCGCATCCTCCCGCCTTCGAGTGCCTTATGTATGGGTATGTATGCCCCAGTATCCTGGAAGGGAAATGCTGCAGGAGGGAGTCCCCCCCCAACAGCTGTGTTATACGTGATCGGTATCATTGGGCTGGGCATAGGGGACACGTGGTCTTGAGTCCTCAGTGTTTTCCATCCACATATTGTCTGTAGGATCAATCCCTCCTCCGCCGAGCGGGAGGGCGATCTTTCAAGATCCCCCCAGATTTTCGTCTCCAACGTTGGTCCAATGAGGCCCCTGTCGAGTACCACCCATTGTTTAATTTCCTGTGTTGCGTGCCAATCTAGTACGCGATGCAGTACGAGGGGTATGGTTTGCATGAGGTATAGGATTCTCGGGAGGATATTCATTTTAATCACCGCAATCCTCCCGTGCCATGTTATGTTAGGGTGAGACCACTTGGACAGGTCTGCGAGTATCCTCTTTAATAAGGGTGTAAAGTTATAGTGATATATATTCCCCGGGTTCGTGGTTACCCAGATGCCCAGGTATTTCATCTTGTCGTGGCACCAGTGGAACCCAAATTCCGGTTCTAAAGAGCGGTATTCATCTGTGGGGATTGTTAAATTCAGGACCTCGCATTTCGAGATGTTAAGTTTAAATCCCGATATCTGGCCAAATCTATTAAACTCAGAGAGAAGGCACGGCATAGTGATCCTAGGGTTATGGACAAAGAAGAGGAGGTCATCCGCGTATGCGGCAACTTTGTGCTGTACTCCCTGCCAGTTATATCCTTGTATGTCCGGATTCTGGCGGATTGCCTGTAATAGTGGCTCCAGGGTCAATGCAAACAGCAACGGTGACAGTGGGCATCCCTGCCGGGTCCCATTGTTGATCGCGAAGTCCGCTGTCGTAGCCCCCTTGATCCGCACCGATGCGCGCGGTTTGCTATAAATGGCAGATATCCACGTGAGGAGTCTCTGACCACAGCCTAGTTGTTTCAGTGTTGCCAGCATATATGTCCAATTGACCCGGTCAAATGCTTTTTCTGCATCTGTTGATAACAATAGCAACTGGGTCCCCAGTTTCCTCGCGTGGTGTTGGATAGAGAAAAGTCGTAGGGTGCTGTCCCTAGCTTCTCGACCTGGGATGAATCCCGTCTGGTCCTCGTGTATCAAATCGGGGAGGAGATGTTTAATTCTGGTCGCTAGTGTTTTCGTGAACAATTTAGCGTCCACATTTAGTAGCGAAATCGGTCGATAGCTGCTGCAATGTAGTGGATCTTTCCCTGGTTTAAGTAGGACTGTAATGATGGCTGATAGGGACTCCCCACCCAGTTCTCCCCCCTCACCAACCACGTTGAGTGCCTTGGTGAGCCAGGGCAACAGTATTCCCGAGAAGGTTTTATAGTATCCCGTGGAGAAGCCGTCCGGACCAGGAGCCTTGCCAGTTTTAGATGACTTAAGGGCTGCGGCTAATTCTTCCACTGTGATTGGTGTGTCCAGTTGTGTTGCCGAGTCTTGATTGATTGTGTTTGTGATTGTGTTGGATAGGTAGTCCTGTATTTTCTCAGTTTCTCTCGCGGCTTCGTGGCCTCTTTAGGCGCATACAAATTGTAGAGATGCTCGTAAAAGGCCCGAAATTCCCCAGCGATTTTTCTCAGGAAAGGGGGAGATCTCCCCAGAAGCCAGGCAAATCCTGCGTATTTGTCTATGGGGCAAAGGACCTTTCAGCAGTTTCGCCAGGTATTTACCTCCTTTATTGGCGTGTACGTAGTAAAAGCTCTTTGTGCGTTGTACGGCTCGAAGATGCCTTTTCAAGATTAGGTCTTTGAGTTTTCGTCTGTGTTCCATCAATTCTCCGTAAACTGCATTTAGCTGGGAGCGTTTGTGTTGGCGTTCCAGGGTCGATATAGAGTGATACAAATCCACCATTTCATGCATAAATGCCTTCCGTTTCCGAGAGGCGATGCGTATAAGTTCACCGCGTATCACACTCTTGTGGGCTTCCCATATGGATATTGCGGAGGTCTCTGGAGAGTCATTTTCCCTAAAGTATTGTTCCAGTGCTTTTTGAATTTGTTCCTTGGTATCTGGAACTAGCAGTAGAGCTTCGTTAAGTCTCCAGGTCCACGCCTTTGGTCTGTACAGGGGTGAGTCCAGTTCTATCTCGACCGATCCATGGTCTGACCAGGTGCCAGTCTCGATCTTAGCTCCGCGCAGGTGGGAAAGTCCTTCCTGAGCAGTAAGGATATAGTCTATACGGGAATATCGATCGTGAAGGGCGGAAAAGTAGGTGAAGTCCTTCACTGTGGGGTGAAGCGTTCTCCAACAGTCCACTAGCCTCAGGGCCTCCAACGACTGTCGGATGGATCTAATGTTATGTTGTGAAATGCTGCTATGACCTGTAGAGGAGTCCAGTGTAGGATCGAGTGGGGTGTTGAAGTCGCCTCCTACCAAAAGTATCCCATCCGTGAAGTCCTCCAGTTGTTGTAACACATTTCGGAGGAATGGGGCCTGTCTTTTGTTGGGCACATAGATGGTTGCTATTGTGTATATCCTGTCTGCTATGGTGCCTTTAAGGAAGAGGTATCTTCCTTGTGAGTCTTGTAAATGTTCTAGTTCTTTGAACTCCAGCTCAGCGGCTAATAGTATGGCAACTCCAGATTTATGAGCCGTCGGATGGTTGCAGAAGTAGTTGTTAGGATAATGCTTGTTCCGTATTCTTGGGGACGATCCTTCCTTGAAATGCGTTTCTTGGAGCATTGCTATCGCTACGTGTTTTTTCCTCAATTCTCGTAGCAGGTGTGTCCTACGTTCAGGAATGTTAAGTCCTCTGCAATTCTGTGTGATGATCTTCAAAGGTGCGCTTTGGTAGGTCATTATCTCTATGTACGTCGGGAACCTCTTCAGACCAGTGCCGGACCCGTAGTCTCTCCCAATGCTCCGCCGTCCCAAGGGGGGACCACGCGTCCGAGGCACAGGATGGGCCGAGGTGCGGGGGAGGGGCAGGGGAGGTAGGTGGAGGGAGGCAAGGGTTAAGTGTATGGGAGGGAACCGTGAATAGGGGGTTGCGACCGATGCGACAAGTCCGGGGTCCAGGGCCCAGTGCCCGAGTATGGAGCTGAATGTGTTGTGTGAGATTTAAGATCGAAAAGGAGGTGTTTACCCTTCAGTGTAGGTATCCCCTCGGAATCCGGTAATGTCCCAGATCCGCAATCCCTCTACAGAGTAGGGGGAGGTCTCGCGCAGTGACCAGCGCTAACAGGCGCCCACTCTGGTACCAGCCCAAGAGACGAGACACCCCGTAGCCTGGCCACAGACCTCTTAGCGTGAGTGTATGTGTTAGGGAACGCGACTCGAGCTCCGCCCAGATAAGGTGTCTAAGAGTATACATGGGGTTCTCCTCTCCGCCGCGACCCCCAAAATCATAGCTGAGTGAGTGGCAGCAGCTAACATGTATTGTGTATTCATATTCAAGGCATTTAAGCATTAACATCAAATTAACAAATTAACATATTTACAAGTGTCACGATTAAGATAGCAGTTCCTTAATCCAGAACGTCCCGTCATTCCCCATTCGCTTCTCCCCCAGCAGCGAACATCCCTCCCGCGTCCATTCGCACCGGTCGCCCCACGTCAACCTCCCCTATCTACCGGGTTGTGGAGTGGTGGCTTTCTCAGATCCAGTATTGGTGTTGTGTCATGGTTAAAGCACCCTGACTCGTCTTAAAACTATAACTATCCCTAGAGCTCCGGCTCCGATGATCATGCGCAAGTTATTCGATACTCACTTCCGTCATTTCGTCCCTATTCTCTCCAGTACCTATAAGGGGGGTGAGGGGGGAAGGCGCACCTAAGTGTGTTGGTATCTGTAAGTGAGGGCTGAATAGGGTGCGTAGCTTGGATTAAGCAGGCAGATGCAAGCGGGTATGTGCAGCCTATACTAGTCAGGGCTTTGAATTATCTGTGCGTCTGCGGTACTGTAAGCACTGAGGTCTAGATTATATACCAGTCTGCGTGTCCTCCTTGTTTTCCCCCTAAGGGACCGCTACTTCCCGTTGATACAGTGGGGTCCGGTTGGTGTTCTGCAAACTATTTCTATCTGATGCCTCTAGGAAACAATGGGCCTGTACAATTAGGAATAGCAGTAAATATGATTCAGTCAGCGACAGGTTATATTAGCATGCATCATTAACAGTTAGAAATATTCCACTCTACCCCACTTCCCATCCCGCTCTCCCCCAGCTCCCTGGATCAAAGATACCCTTTCTTAAATGCAAGTGTCCCAATTTAGTGTCCTCATTCGTGGGGGGTCACCGTTTTTGCGTCCAGGATGCCTGAGTTTGTGCTGAATATCCAGTCAGGCAGTCGGTATCTGCTGTCCGTTGCCCCCTTATGTCCCTCTCCCCTCCCCCCCCAAAGTATCTTGTGCCCACCCCGTGTCGGGCAACAACCATGGTAGAGAGTCAGGGGGTGGCCCAGAGACCCGCACGCATGCCTGCTTCAGGTGGGTATCCGCTCCCGTGTGCGCCCTTAAACCCAGGATCTCCCCTCCCAAAGCTCCATGTCCCGGAACATTAACCCAAAGTACCTGTGGGTGTGCCGTACGTTCTTTTCATCTCGACATCAGGGGGTAGAAGTGGGTTGCGTGCGGTAAGCGATTGGGGTCCAGCCCTCCAGGGACGATGCGTGAACAGGAAAAGCTGGGTGCCGGCGTGGGTGTGTTAGCCTGGGGCGATATACGGTGGTCTTGGACGCAGGCAGGCATGCTGATCACTCCTCCGGGGAAGTCGGGTCTCCACGTCTTCCGCTGTTGTGAGCCGGATGAGTTCTCGCCTCACGCTGTCTGGGCCCTCTTTGTGGTCTGGGTTGCGGCCCCAGTGTCCCCAGGATCCAGTTGGGGACCGACTGAGAGGGGAGGCCCAGTTCTCCCATAAACCGTGGTACCTCCTCCGGCCATCTCATGGTGATCCATCTATTTTGGTGTCTAGCCATTAGTGCAAAGGGGAAGCCCCACTTATATGGTATATTGCGGTCTCGCAATGTCGCTGTAACCGGGCGGAGGGCTCTCCTTGCTTCCAACGTTATGGGGGATAAATCATTATAAAGCGAAACCTGCGCTCCCCTAAAGGGCCAATTCTGTCTTTCCCGGGCTTTGGCCATGATGGAGTTCTTCACCGGGAATGAGTGTAGACAGCATATTAGGTCACGCGGCCCTTCTTCAGCTGCTCTAGACCGCAAGGCCCTATTTGCCCTCTCGAATTCTATAGTTGGCGGTGGGGATGGTGGCAGTAGAGAGCAGAATAATTCCGTTAGTAAAGCCTCAGCATTTTCTGGCCCCTCGGTTTCTGGTACCCCACGAACCCGGATATTGCACCTCCTACCTCTATTGTCTACATCTTCCAGGTGTCGACGCATGGAAAGCAGCATCTCGCCCTGGCGTGCTACAGCGGTATCAGTGGCTGCCACTCGGGCCGTGAGGGCCTCAGTTGCTTCCTCCGTCGCGGTAATGCGGCCCGCCTGCGCAGTGAGCTCTGTCTGAATCCCCGCGATCTCTGTCCGCAATGTGTCTTGTATGGTGGTAGTTATCACCTGAAGGTCGGTTTTTGTCACCATGGTGGCTGCCAGGTCCCTCAGGGAGCCCTCAATCCGGTCTAGGGCCGGCATCCCCTGTCCGGGAGTGGATGTCGCCGCCATCTTGGGGCTGCCAGAGTCTCCGCTCCCCCCTGGCTGCTGCTGCAGATATCCGTCCAACTGGCCCTGGGAGGCTATCCGTGGGGTCTGGGGCTGCTCTGGGCGTTTAGTGCGCCCCATTAGGCTTAATTTGCTTGCCGTGATCGCTATATTCGGGTCCGGCGAGACGGAGCTTATTCTCTACGCGACCATCTTAGTCGGAGCCGGAACCACGCCCCCCAGCCTCTCTGGTTTAGTTCCAGGAATAGGTATTTCAAAAGATGTCTTATTCAATATCAACGTTAAAGTAGGGAACTCTAGAATAGAATGTTCTAATTGGGGACATTCAATCGAACACACGTTCACCTCACCTTATGTTTTAAAAAACAGTGCTTATATAATTTATTTAAAGTTATTTATTACAGTTAGGGTTATTTGTAGACATTGCTGTGGCTTTGCCTTCTCATCACGTTCAGCCAGGCTGGGTTTTACTCTACTCACTAATGAAGCTTACTTTGAAGGACCAAGAGAGACATCCAAACTACTTCATCTCAATTAAGTGGTCCTGGTGCAGTGGACGTTTAGTTTTGTCTCTGCAATCTAAAACATTGCTGTCTTCCTAAAAGCCACTACTAGAAGCGCATCCCTGCGAAAACAAGAGCATTTGATTGGAGCAATGCTGCGTTTTGATGCATATACGCACAAGTTACTAAATGATCATCAAGACTGATGATATCAGTTAAGGAGGTGGAGCAGCAGGACAGTGACCAGTGCAGTGATGGAGTTAAGGGAATTAAATCTCTTGACTTGCTTCAATTAGGGGAAGCCCATTAATTATACTAGGCACTAGGACACTATCATTTTAGGAATACGTTTTCTTACTGCTCTAGTGTTCCGTTAAATAGTGCACACTCACATAATACTAGCTATATCACAAAACCCTCAGAATGCACAGTGGTATGTTGAATATGATAAAGGCACCAGAGCTCAAAAGATTCCACTCAAATGGGGTTTGAGCTCTGTTATACAAAAAAATCCCTTCACTCGCTGAATTATTGTGAGAAATTAAAAACTGAGTAAAATAGTAAACTTAGATTGGTGCAATCAATATACAGTAAAGCAGCATAGCCATGGTAATGACATGCTTTTCTCGATTCATCTAGAATAGGGGTGGACAAAAGAGTAAACCTCCAGCTGTGAAACTGATTCCATCCCAATCCTCAAGGCGTGCCAATGTTCCAGGGTTTGTCAGTATACCATAGGAGCAAAACTGGGATACTCCTAGATACTGGACTGCCAATGTGCCTTGAGGACTAGATTGTGAACCGCTGATCTAGAATCTTGTTTTGGCTTTTAAATGCGGGTTTCATCCTTGGGGACTTTTATCGTATCTTTTTTAACTTATTTCCCTGAAGTCCATGATTTATTGTGTAAACCTTTGAGCAAAAGATGTAACAAAGTTTATTGAATTCCAGGATACAATATTAATAAATGGAATGGAGGGTCTTGCTTATGACGAAAGGTAAAAAATATAAATATATATAGCTATTTACAGAAGAAATAAAATGCCTTACAGGGGATATCATATAATTATTCATATATGTATAAATGGCCATAAACAGGACTATACAAGGTTGGGGGCATTGTCTTAAACTTGAAAAAAAGAAGATTTCACCTACAGCAGCATTAAGGATTCTTAATAAAAAAAAAAAAGTCATTTTCTGCCAAAAGAAATTGTTTTATCAAGTGTAGTACATGCATTTTAAGAAGGATATTTTTTTTATTTATGAGGTAACAAGCCAACAAGGAAAAATATCCTTATTGGAACCACTTGCAACTGAGCTCAGGCCAAGACATTCTGAAAAAAATACCTTGATTCCTGTTTCAAAATGCAGAGTGTTTTCCCAATTATTGCTTAGCACTCTTGATAGTGAGTACGTGGCATACTTTAGTTACATTTATCCAGATCCCTGAACTCCTCTCCCCCCCACCTCATTCCTCCTGGTAATAATATAGGACATTTGCATTAGCTGGGTCAGTGGATTTTAACCATTTGGAGATAGACCAATAGAATGGTCCTGCCAATTGCAATGGTCTTGTGACAAACGCCCCACTTTTAGCTATTTGAAACTCTTCTTTCTTTGATAAATCTCCCTAATTGTATTCATCAGGCCCCAGGAAACTGTCCACATTAAAGAGTTTACTTCAGATGACATACCTTCAATAGTGTAAGAGAGACAGAAGAAAGAGTATAATGTGGGTGTTTATTCAGACTTTGCTGAAGTTATTTTAGTATATATTATAATACATTTTGTTTTTTAAAAGGTTGAATAAACTATGAATTTTACAATTTTTTTAAATTGCTACCTACGTGTTCATGGGTTTTAACATTTCTCAGAGTGTTACATACAGGAAGCCAGAAAGGCACTCCAGTAAATAAATAACATTTTCACTATTGAACATCATAAATTCTTGCATTTTATAATACTTTTGTGTAGAGGTGTATAAGGGTATAACCTAGCACGCAGAACTTGAGCCTGTGCTATCCTAATAACATAAAGGGGATAGTGGTATATTACCTGTACTTAACGCAGTGCCTATCGTAGGCAAATGTAACAAAGTTGGGCAATAAACCAAGGTCAGGGGACCCAGAAATACACAAGAAGGTCATGCCAGGCCGGGTCTAAGAGTACAAAGATTAGGATAGTCAAACAAGCTGGGTCGGTGTACTGGAGAACATACTCAACAACAAAAACGAACTATTGAAAATAAAGAATGAGCCCACAACAGGGCAATGATGCATAGCCTAAGGAAACGTATATAGGTTTGGCATAAATATCCAGTCCAGCATCATTCCTGTGCACCCAGAACAGGGCTTGTTACACTCGAAAATTGGGAGCCGTGTTCTGTGTCAAAATTGACACCTGCATGACATGGGTCTGGACTTGGCTCAACTTCAAAACCTAGGCTGAGAGCCTAACACAGGTACCCAACTGATCATAACTGCAGAAATTTGAAGAAGAAAAAATCCCACATCCGTGAGAGTCTCCTTTATTGTTTCCTGCCTGTAATCGATGATGTGGAAGATGCAGAAAACACATGTATGGAACTACCTGCTGAAATTGAACCCATTCATGCTTACAGAAGACAACACAGAGCTTCATTGCAATATGCTGTATGGATAATGGCCAGATATTAGTATTTCATTTATTGGAGCTAATTTTACATGATCTCTGACGATATAAAAGATTGAACACAACACACATTTTACAATACATTAGTTAAAGAAGCTCTCTCTCTGCTAATGCCCTATTTAGCGTGCAAGTGTTGGAGAAATTTATATTTTCACTCCGCTCCCACAAGGCTGGATAGAAACCAGCCAATATATTCCAGTTATTAATGTAGCTGAGCGGCTATACTAGTAGTAAAACAAACATTATTTCTCTTTATTAACCACGTTTTGATTATTTACAGGCTGAGAAGCATTGTAGGTTTAGTCACTTATGAAGATGAAATGCTCTAAAAAAATGACTAATATCTGCATTCATTCCGCTCGTCTACAGCGGTTGGTAACATGCAGGTCTTGTAAGACCAGCAGAGGTGTCGATAATCAACACCTTGAGAGCTAATATTGCCCAATGTGCTAATAGTATCTATCATTCATTTCCTAGTGTAGCATGAGATTTAATGACCCCTCACATGGTAACATGGTATGTATAACCATGTTCTAAGTTTAAGAAAGATGTTTATTAGTGTTGCTGTTAATTAATCTCCTCGAGATTTCACAGAGCTTGCTAATAGCAAGAGACCAGAACCTGGCTGCTAATTTAACCAAACCATAAAATAATTTTGGGGGTCCCAAGTGCCAAAGCATTAGAAGAGAGTACCTGCTGGTTTCTGCTTAGATAAAACAAACAAACAAGTGAGTAGGTGCCCCCAGAACCATCTAGTAATCTGGAAGGGTTCCGTAAAATGAACCAACCACCAAAGACGAATTGGATGGAGTCTCAGGAACTCCCTAGTAGTCAGACTGTAGTCCTACTCATTGCTGGAGAAACAAGGCTGAACAAATCAGCTGTAAATCGAAAATGAACATTTCTTTATTTGTTTATTTTTATTGATTTAAACAAAAGGTACAGAAGTGGTGAGAGGCCCCTCACCTAGTTGTAAACAAAAAGGACATTTCTAATGAAGATAGAGATAGTGGCGAATCAATGTAGAAAGTTTCAGTCTATCTCGGACTCAATTTGTGTGACATTTAGAGGTTCCTTTGCTTAATCCAGGAAACACTGCCTCCAGGACAACATTGCCGGAGGAGGAGTGAGTCTCAGTATTGACAAAAGGTAAGTGAAAATCTTTTTTTTTTTTTTTTGTATTCTTTTTTTTTCTTGTGCATTTGGTTACATACTTGCTTGCAGTGCCACGACAGCGACTGTGAGCAATTTCAAAACATTCAGTGGCAAATCTGAGAGGTTGCACATTTAATATTTGTTAAGTATAATATGCTAACAATCGTTAAGTTAACTATATGAAATAGGTACACATGTTGTAGCAGGGTAATGATAATAGCCGTAGAGTGGCCAATGTGTACTAAAGATACGCTCCTGACAATGGCTGCGCAGGGGCCTTATGATACCTGGCGTGTGTCAAGCTAGTTGGTGTTATCTGCTCTGTTAGTATGTGCGCTGTGGGGTTAATCCGCCTATGCTTTAATCAGCTGTTCTGAGAGGTGTTGGGCTAAGTAATGCAGTGTAGCTTTCTGCGGTGTTCTCTTCCCTCTGTTATCGTTAGATAGTTATATAGCTCGGGAGGTATCTCGGTACTGGGTGTGTTGTAACCCCGTCTGTCTGCTGTTTAGGGTGATGTGCCCTCTTGTTTCCACTTAGGGCAGATGGGGGGGTGAGGGGGTAAGTAACCTGATGGAAGCGTTCTTGTGTGTGTCTAACAGGTAGATAGCTAGTAAGATTTACTGGTACGTGAACAATTAGAAACACAAAAATAAGAGAGTCGCAAGGAGTTAGTTCCGTAGTGGTGAGCTCAAACAGTCCTGGTCAATATCTTGTCGTGGTTTAAATAGCCCTTGGAGCTTTCACGTCGGATTGTCAGCAGGGGACCCGTGTCCGGACCATCGCGGAACAAAA